GCCCTCACACAACGTCATTTTTTGACCTAGCAGCAGACGGACTAGCATGTTTGAATTCAGACCACACCAAATAGTTTGCTTGAGCTGCTCTCAGGCACGCAGATCGAAGATCTCACTTGTCCTAGACAAGTGTGTAGAGATCTTCGTGGGATGTGGAGGGAGTTTCAATCAAACTTTTTTAGGATTATTTATCGCCCCACACGTGGATATCTTTTTATTGATAGATCAGAGGATCCTCCCTAGAACAAATTCTTAAAAATTAGGTTACTAGCAATGACAATAGAAACTAAGATTCATTTACAATTGATGCAACAATTATGTCAACAATAATGCAAACATAAACATCTTAAACATAGCAGCAATAAGATTCAGACAACCTTTTAAGAATTTTGGTTATCAAATCAATGTTATATAACAAGGGAAGGTGATATTATGACATAAATCCTGTTTGTAAGTAAATGATTGGTAAAATACATACCCAGATACTTATAGGAAGATCTCACATTTTTGTTATTCATGTCATGCATATCTTTAGAATAAATTAGAAACTCATGTTGGTAACATGTTATAAAATCAAAGCAAAATAAGACAAATACTACTATAAGAGAGCAATAGAAATAGGGAGAAGAAAGAAGAGCTTTCATATACTTCCAATTGTATCTATCAATTTTCATACACAATGTAAGTTATTTACAAGTCTCAAGTAACTTGGAAAGTCAAGTTTATTAGTGCAAATGAACATTGACATCCACCAAATACAAGTGCATATGGACATTAATATCCATCATCTTAATATTTCATAACATGCACTCTCTTTGTTTCAAATTAAGTGACCTTTTAATCTTGTGATAAAAAATTAAAGATCTCTCAAATGTATCAAAATACTTTTTAATTTTGTGGACTTAAACATGTTAGGTGGAAAGTTGAAATAAAAATTGTTAAAAAAGGAAAATTTCAATCTTTTTTAAATGGACTAAAAAGGAAAGTAGATCAAACAAATTGATATGGAAGAATTGTATTATATAGGGAAGAACTTTCATTTATTTATCTTCTTAATCCAAGCTTCACATATTATGACAGGAGACACCATACCTTCACAGTTCATATACTAATCATTATTGCTCTACCCTTCAAATGTTGAATTGCCATTCAAGAAAAAATGACATGTTTGAAGAAATTTGTTTAGCTAAACATGTGTTTGTACTAATAGTTAAATTTGTAAAATTGGGGATCAAGAACAAGTGAATTAATATCGATCTCACCCTTCTATTTTTTTTTTTGGGGTGGGGGTGGAGGGGGAGACTAAGTCGACGAAACAATAATGAAGAAACATTTTTTGACTATGCCCATAAGAACTAGAATATGAAATTGATATAATAACAAAAGCAAGAAAATAACAAGATTCAGGATCTTTTCCATATTCTCAAAACTAAGAAATGAAATTGTATTTTATTAGTGAAGATGAGATGTCTTCTTCTCTCATGTAAATGCTTACTTAAAGGGTAAATAAGTTACGGATACTAGGGCATAAAGGCTATTATGCCACCTAAAAGGCCTCTATCATCATCTTTCACAAGCCTAAAATTTGGCTCTAGGCTCAAGGATGATTGGTGTCAAGAGACCATAACAAACTTATCCAGGTTATGTAAACAATGATATTTCTCATAATTTCTAATACTAGCTAGTTTTGCAATTTTAAATAGCATATTTTAGTAACTTTAAGGGTCAATTTGGAAAGCCACCTGGTAATTGGAATTGGTGTAATTACCAGCCTAGTAATTACACAGTCTAGTAATTACGCTGACCTGTTTGGTTGTCTCAGTGTAATTACACATGTCATGTTTGAATGTCAAAGTGTAATTACACATGTTCTGTTTGGATGCACAATTGGAATCATAAAATTATATTAAAATTTAAAAATAAAAATTAATTATTTAAAATTTATACTAGACAACTAAGAAATTTTATAAATGATATTAAATTAAATATTTAAGGTATATATTATTTTTTGAAAATATATTAGTTAATAAACATATGTTCTTAACTAATATTATGAAAAAATAATTGATTTATATTTTTTCAAATTAATTTATTGTAATTGAATTGATCATAAAAACTAAAAGTATGAAGTTTCTAGAACATTATAAATGCATGTTTGATAAAAAGATTAATATATAAATAAAATGTCATAAATCATTAAAATGTTTGACAAGAAGATAATTTATCAAATCTAATTAAAAAAAGTGAATTCAATATTACTAATACAAATGAAACTGAAAATATAACATAAGTTATAAATTCAATTTTCTTAACATAATACTCTTATCGCAAATTTCAACATAGCATACATAAATATGATTTATGTTTATTTTTTTAAAAAAAGAAAACGTAAGTCTATAACCATACTTAACAATAAACTCTATTTTAATTTAAAAATTAGAATACTAATAAAATTACACCATGTAACTACCAACAATTCACATCCTCTCCCTGTGAATTGGAGAGTGTAATTACCCCCCGGCCAATTACACAAATTACCTGCTGACCAAGTAATTACGTGTCCAACCAAACAGGACATACATTGTAATTACACCCAATTACACCAAATCCAATTACCAAGGTGGCTTTCCAAACAGGCCCTAAGAGTGTTACTATATCGAGCTGGTATCTTCGAATCTACAAAGCTATATAATCTAGATTCTGGCCTGAATGCCATCCCCAAGCTACCAGTTTTCCACGTCCACAAAGTTTGAAAGAAAGCATAAGGACCAGTCATGAAGGTCCGAATCCAATAAACTTGCACAAGATTGAAAGAAAGCGCCCCATAAGGACCACCAAGGTCAAAATCACAATCTATAAAGAACCAAGAAAGTCGGGTTGCAGAGAATGTACTATAAGTTGCTGTTGACTAGAATATTACATTTACTCAAACTCGAACAGGTAGCCGACAAAACACATAATAGAGCAAGCTAAAGGGCCATATAGGATTGGAAGAAGTTAAGGCAATCTCATCTCAAGTATCTGAGACGCAATTCTACTTTTTCCTGAGATCTTAACCATTTGTACAAAATGTTTCAAGCTCCTGGTGCAAGGCAATCAAAGGTCCAGGGAGGTAGGAGTTAAAGAAATCTGTCCTCATCTTGTGGGGCATGTTTCTCCTCCTACGTCGATTGCAGAAGTTCATATAAACATCACTCATTCACTATGATCTGCACAAATCATGCCAAGTACTTGAACAGGTTTGGATTATCTTTGTCCCTCTCTAGGTAATCTCTAGTTATCAAATCTTCTATTCTCTTCTTGATAGCTTTGACATCAGGCTATGGAGTATTCAAAACAAAGTAATTAGCTCAGTTGAGCTTGAATAAATAACATTAAAATTGAGAAGTAGAAGTTCATCACAAAGGATACCACCTTAAACATGCGTCCCAACTGCTCAACGCACTCCATGACTAGTTGCTGGTAGCCCAATACTTTACGGCTCTTCATAATACGCACAATTGAAGCATCTATAGCATACCGCCTATCCTTGTCAACGTCTTCAATTACCTTTTTCTTCTCATCAACAGGAGGGAGAGGTATCTGCATACCCATTACAGCAATATCCTCAAGGGGTCAGTAATGTAGTGCAACAATTCATAGTACAAAGGCTAACCGTACTCATCATTAATTGTACCTTGATCCTCCTCATTTTGTCAGTGAACTTTGAGTTGAACTCAAAGACATCAGTCGGAGAAACTGTTTTGGTGCTTGGCTCCTTGTTGAGAATCTTGTACTTCGCACATGAAAGGGAATGAAGAAGCCGAACAACATCATCATCTGATAGGTTTAATTGCGTCATGATTTCCTGATAACTCAATCTATCTGAAGCATTAAAGAGCAACAGAGCAGAAGCCTACGAAAAGGAAGAAGTCTCAATCTCGTTTTCTCATTAATAACGTAATAGAAATATTTCAAATTAACTAAGCCTATCCGATTTCAAAAAGTAAGACAACAGCAATCAACCTGATAAGTAGTGACAACGAGCTCAATAGTTTTTGGCTCAAATTTTCCATTTATGTTGCAAGTTCCCAAAGAGTATATCCACGTAAGTTTCCTGTGCTTTGTTTTTGTTTGATAGAACTCCTTGAATACTTCAACGCACCTAACCTGACAATGCACGGCATAAAATGAATCAATGACAGGACGTTTGAGAAGAAAAATGATTCAACATGCATCATTCTTTGTCTAAAGAGAAGAACTTCAGCAAGAGGAATAAGGGTCAAACAAAGATAAAATCAACTGCATAATGCCAATTAACATATTGATATGATATACCATTTCAGCTGGGAGGTTGAGATCAAAAGACTTGTAGCTAGGCCAGAAGCCAGTAGTCAAGACAGTCACTGTCAAGTCAATTCCTGGATTTGCTATTGGATTATTGCTCAAATACTCCTCAAAGCTGGCTTGATTTTCCCTTGCCAATGTCAAATCTGTGACCTATAGAAAGAGAAGTAGAATGTCACCAGAGAACATAGCCTCAAATTCAGTATAATGCTCTGGATAGCTTACCATTCCCTCCATCTTTGATGTGAACTGCCCCCCGCACTGCTGCTTCAACTTTGTTAGGATACTTCTCTCATGTTCATCATTGGCACTCTTATCAAATAACAACCGCCGGGCTAGCTTTTTCCTGAAAAAAAAAAAAAGGAAGTCATAAACTTGTAACAGAGAAGAAGATACTATTCAAGTAGTTGAGATGCACAGTAGAGGTAACTCTACCTATAGAATTCTGCAAACAAGTCCTTATCACTAATATAAGCTAGCAGCTTTACCACCTGCAAGTGAGATCTATTATCAGCTTTCTCCTGCTCCAGTAGTACGAAGAAAAAGTAAATGCTCTAGAGGAAAAGAAGGGAAGGGGATCTATAGAGCAAGAGCTCACCTTTTCCAACGTCTCTTCAATGGCTTCATCACTCAATTTCTCACTCCCGCCTTTTTTGAGAATGTTGTCACAGAAGGTGGCAAGAAGTTCAGCGCTTGAGCTACCAGCAACACCCTTGTTGCAGAAAAGTTCGAAAGCCTCTTTAAGTGCCTAGAAAATGACAAAGGGGATAAATATTAGCAATTTACTTCTACCCTAATGCACAGAGTAGAACAATTAAATTAGACAACTATCCTTCGTTCCAACACATACCTTGTGAAAAAGTGTGTGGTTTTGGAAACAGTTATTCACATACGCCAAATATTTATCATGAAGCTCAATCACTTTCCGAACAAAAACCTGAAAATTCAGAAGTAAGTTCATCACTGAAAACATATTCAAGGGTCAGATAACAGATTTACTAAGGGATTACCTGTTCCTGCAAACCAACCACATCTCTCTTCTCTGCCTGTTGAAGAACACTAGTTGATCAGAAAGAATGCAAGACATTGAGCAATTATATTAAATGCATTCACAGAGAAATACGAGTCTCATCTTTTAGAGAATCATCCCTAAAAAGATGAGATGAATTAATTTTGACATTGTTCTAACCAGCAGAAGTGGAGAATTTAAGATACATAAAAGAAGGAAATGCGACAAAAAGCACGTCTTGGTTCCCTAAGCAACTGCTCATGCTCTTTCTTTAAGATAAGTACAGAATTCGGTGAGGGGTTCTGCTTTAAAGAAACTTTTACCATCTCTTTGAAGTAACATTCCCAACCACCAAATTATCAATGAACATGTACTGAAGAACAAATAAAGTAAATGAAACAAAACAATCACTGAGATGAAGTCAAACTTTGTGACTTCATGCTTTTGATACAAAAGAGAAGATATGATAACAAGAAATCTCTGAACAAAACTCATTAAAAGCACAAACTGGAAATCAAAACAAGCAGAATAGCAATATGCTACGAACAAGGGTTGTGATAGAGTGGTCAGCACTCATTATTCATATTTTTGAATCAACTCATGTAATGTGATTTTGATAAGTTGCGACTTGTGATTAGAAACTTCAATATGCACCAGCTATTGTTCCATCAATCTAAGTTCAACTTATGCTTCGATTTTTAACTTCTATCTGCAAATTTGATTGAGCTTCAAGTCTTGTTGTGTACTTCATGTCTGAGTGGCTATGTGTCTTCCATACTATCTTTTTGTTTCTTTGAAATTAAAATCATGTGCAACTTTTGTTCTCTATTCATTCTTAATATTGTAGCTTGGCATACAGTTATGGAAAACCTCATTACAGTTGACAGAGGTTCTTAATTATGTTTTCTACACAAAAGAAAAAAAGAGGTATACTCCAGCTTAATATTGATATGGCCAGATGATAGGATTACAGGGGAAGAGGGAGAATTAATGTCTTTACTTTTAAGCTAGTGAAGGATAACAATCTACATGTTTTGCATTCTTTATTTTTGGTAATTAAAGAAATGTTACCAAGTGAGAAGTTAAGCGGCTTTCACACAGCTACTAAGGTTGAAGCATGGTTGACGTTGAATCTAAAGGGTTTATGCTCTTACTTCTTGTCCCCTTATTTCAAACTCAAAGAAAGCCTTGATCGATATGAGAAAGATGTTCTCGTATAAAAATTGAAATAAGAATCTTGGAGTTAGACAAATGGTCCCAACCCTAGATAAGCACCAGAGCTACGTAAACTGTTTTGCAAGCAAACAAATCTTCAAAAATTGCATCACTTCCTTGTTAGTTATCATTGTTTGTTGCCCTTACAACAACATCAAGTATCATAGTTATTTCACCTTGGATGTATCTGCTTTGAAGTAATTTTTGTTTAAGCCTAGAGTCTATCAGAAACTATCTCTCTATCTTTACAAGGTAAGGATAAGATCTACGTACATCGTATCCATTCCAAACTTCACTAGACATGAGTGTGCTCATTAGAAGTGCACCAGATGTGCTAATAAAATGTTTCAATGCACCAAATTTTTGCATTGATTATAAGCGCATATGCTCAATTTACATTAGAATTCTCAAAATTGATGCACTAGGTATTCTCAATAAAATATGCACCAGATTCTACTATTACAAGGGACCAAATTTTTAATATAAAATCTGCACTTCAATTATTAGAGCTAAAGCACCATATTTTTGAAAAAAGAAGCTGTCTATACAATTACATACACTAAAGATTACAGATCAACCTATGGCAACTGACTTGCACCATGATTCAAAAGATCAAGTCGCATTTAGATATCAAATCTAGAGTAGAGTCATACAAGATAATATACCAACACACATTCTCTCTACTTTTGGCATTAACCAATTTGCTCTTCCTTTTTTTCACCTTTTTGTTTTCTTTTTCAAGCTCATTTCTAATCTAGAGATATCGACTCTGTCTCAATCTTCCTTTTCAACTAATGCTATCGCATAATGCTACTGTCCAATTTAAAATACTTTCAATATACTTTCAGCTAAACTTAGTTTCTTTACTAATTTCGAAATCAAAAGCATTGATCGTGAATCAATTTTGTCACCTTCAAATAGGGCTTTGATTAGATCTTCTGTATGTGTCTTCAAATACAATCAATTTTTTACACAACAATGAAAGACCTCCAAAATTGCTTTCTATTAGAAATCACTTATCATCTTTGAATTGGAGTAGCAATTAGGGATTCAGAGATGAACTAAAAAGAGAAAAACTTCATCTTTCTTGACATTTTGCAGTAAAAAATAGTAGCTCTGTGTTAGATGAGAAGAGGGAAGTTCCCTTTAATGGGTGAGGAGCAAAAAAAATAAAATCCACAAGCTCTTCTGAAACAGATTGGAAAAATGTAGAGAAAGAAGGGGAAAGGGAAAACTTTTGAGTGTTTTAATTTTTGCACGTGGGGTCAGTGTTAAAGTTAACAGATTTTTTTTGATGTATCTGTTACTTTTAGGTCAAAGGATCAAATTGATCCTCTTTTATAATATATTAAGGACCATATGGATCATGTGGAATATATTAAGGATCAACTTAAAACAACCCTTATACATCAAGGACCATTTTGATCATTTACTCAGAGAGGTTTTGGAGGGAAAGAAATGGATTTTGTGATTATTTTTTTTAATTTTTAAATAGGGATATAAAATATTTATAGAAAGTGGTTAGTTTGTATTTTCTAAAATTTTGGTGGTAGGGACTATTTTGTAGTTTTTAAGACTTGGGTGCTAGAGTAGATAGCTTTTAAACTTAAAGTATTGATGTTGTGGATGTGAGGAAGTCAATTAACTTTAAGTATTTAATTATATTTTTAAGTAGATCAATTTACTATTTATTTATAATTTAGTAACTTTATTATTCTAGAATGGGGTTTATGTTTCATGGTTTCATAAGGATTAGGTTAACCTATAGTTATTAGTTTGGTACAGGATTTAGGTCTCCTACTTACATAAGAATTAAACTTCCTATTGATGTAATAAGACTCCTATTTAAAGGGGCTTTTGATGAATAAAACAGTAAGTCATACGTCTGCAAAGAGCAAGAGATCAGAGTTCTCTCTTCCATTGAACTCAAAGGTTTCAGTCTCCCTTTGAAGAGCTGAAGAGATCGGGGTTCTCTCTTTTTAATGAACTCTAAGGTTCAGCCTCCCTTTAACGAGCTGAATTTATACAATTGGCTCTTTTTCTCGAATTTTACTCTTAGCAACTCCTATTTTCGAAGCAAGATGTTGTCTAATTAGACCACGAATTACAAATGTCTGGAAAAGTTCTATTGCTATTTCACGAGGCAATCCACATCGATGTAATGAAAGTGAAGGACCCACAACAATGGCAGATCGCCCTATGAATCGATCCTTCTCTAAAGATTCATAACAATTGATGACAAAATGGTGTGTTAATATATGAAATTAAGTTGATCAGACACTTGAGCACAAGTAACTTTGCATATTAAAATAGCAAAAACTTCTAGTTTGATGGTTCCAAGTCAACTCAAAGTGTATAAGCGCCAAATAAGGAAGAACCAAATTTCTCAAGACCAAAGAATTTGAGAAAGGGATAGATTATACAAACCTTTTTATTGCTAGCAGCATCTTCAGCCTGTTTTACCAAAGCTGTACCTTCAGCAGTAACATGCTGCATTCAGATTAAAAAGAAGGATACATGAAGTAACTTATAGGCATACAATCAAGAATATGAGGTCATGAGATCACAAACCTGCTTAAAAATATTGGCCACAGGGTCTAAGCCTCGAGGGATCTTAGAAAAGAGCCTATACATCCTTGATAAATCTTCAACCTAATAAAATAATCATGATTGTGTCAATTACTGCAAAAAAAATTCAGAAACATGGTCATTAAGATGCTGCTAACTACCTTATCATCTCTTAGTAACGCATGGCATCCAGAGTAATCCTTCTCAAGAAGTTGAGTGGCATACACAGACAACAACTCATGTTGCACTTTCTGCAGAAAGGTGAGAGTAGTAAAGTTGCAGCTAATTTAAAGTTGATAGGCTAGATCCAGAAAAAAGAAGATGTGAACAATAAAAACTGATAGCAACATCCTCCATTTTGAAGGCTAAAGTTCCAGTAAAGAATAAAGATTAAGAGCTGGAAAGAACCTCAAGCAACTTTGTCTCGCTGCTTGAATGGAGATAATGAGAAACCCTATCCTTCTCCCGTTTCAAGCACTCCTCGGCCTAAAGGAACATTGACATGATTATGTAGGTTAACATATGGACTTTAACCAGAAAAAGGACAGACAGAAGAAGCAACAGGGTAAGAATGGCAGAATTAAGGGGTTGCATAAGCAGTATACTAACTTTCAGCATATAATCTGGACAGGAATCTTCGAGGATCCAGTTAGAAGCTTTGCGAGAATAATAAGCCGCTGTATCCTTGAGCATTGCAGCTTCAAAATCGTTCTCATAATAATCCATTGATCCCATTCCAATTTCAACAAATATATCTAGCACATTCTTTAGTAGGGCTCTGTCAATTTGCTCTCCCTCACGCTCTTGATCAATCTGGTTAGAGGAATGTCGTTGCTCAATTAAAAGGAAAAAAGAAATGGTAGTGAGAACTCAAAGCAAGACAAAAGGGATACCAGAGATATAACAGCATCCCTGACTTTTCCATTCAACTCTTGGTAGACCTGAAATAGAAAACAGT